GTGGTCCTTATTCCACCCTCCCTCCCTCCAGTGTCCTTATTCCCCCCCCTCCCCAGTGGTCCTTATTCCAGCCACCAGTGGTCCTTATTCCACCCCCCTCCTCCCCCCAGTGGTCTTTATTCCACCCCCTCTTCTCTCCAGTGGTCCTTATTCTCCACTTCCCTCTTCTTTTGTTCCTCCTGCCAATGTAGCATGGCCGGGCGGCGCAGAACAGGAACTTCTGTTTCCTGTACCCGGTCGCCGGCGGACTGAAGGGAAGTGCTCACTGAGAAGGGTAATAGCAAAGTAATTAGTGGAGGCCATCTAAGGCCAAAGCCAAAGGATGACTAGTATATCACCAACACTGAAGAGTATGTAGTGTTGTGATGTAGGTGACTTGATGCATAATACTTGTTAATGCAGTGCAATAATGAAGTGACACAATATGAGAAGGAAGGATACAATGTGTAGAATAAGGGATTAATTTACTAGTGAATGGCCATATAGGCTGGTTGGTATAGTGACGTAATGAAATGTTGTTAGAAGGAGTAGTATATACACCGAACAAAATTATAAATGCAACACTTTTGTTTTTGCCCCCATTTTTCATGAGCTGAGTTTAAAGATCTAAAACTTTTTCTATGTACACAAAAGACCTATTTCTCTCAAATATTGTTCACAAATCTGTCTAAATCTGTGTTAGTGAGCACTTCTCCTTTGCCGAGATAATCCATCCACCTCACAGGTGTGGCATATCAAGATGCTGATTAGACAGCATGATTATTGCAAAGGTGTGCCTTAGGCTGGCCACAATAAAATGTGCAGTTTTATTACACAGCACAATGCCACAGATGTTGCAAGTTTTGAGGGAGAGTGCAATTGGCATGCTGACTGCAGGGATGTCCACCAGAGCTGTTGCCCATGAATTGAATGTTGATTTCTCTACCATAAGCCATCTCCAAAGGCGTTTCAGAGAATTTGACAGTACATCCAAACAAAGAAAAAAGTTACCTGTGCTCTTTCCACATCCCTATGTATTTTTAAACAAATGAAAGTTTTTAGTTACCTCCAATGGCCATGAGAGGGTATGCCCACCTGCCACGTCAAGGCAGACCTTTTAGGTGGGTCCTAACTCTAACCATTCACCTTGCTTCCTTTATTAAGTTATCTCTAATGAGACAGAAAGGGGTATTTTTTTATATACATCCCTACATGATTATTAACCTTTAATAGGGAACACGTGGGATGGGCAGCAGCATTGCTACCTAGCTGTGTGATACAAAAGTGAATACAAATACAAAGAAACTAGTCGTGCGCTCAAACTCCCATTACTCCTGGGCGGCAGCAACGACCATAGTACACATCACATATTTTTGCCAGAAGCTCAAGGAAGCAAGGCGAATGGTTAGCGTTAGGACCCACCTAAGAGGTCTGCCTTGACGTGGCAGGTGGGCATACCCTCTCATGGCCATTAGAGGTAACTAAAAATCTCCATTTGTTTAGAAATACATACATGAGATGTTTTCCACATAATCTTTTCACCAAGCTACCTAATAACTAAGCTAAGTGAAATGGTGGTCTACTCAGGAATAAGCATTTAAACACCCATTAAGTGTCTGCTACACTGTTATATAACATAACCAGGAGATAAGCCTGATTAAACTTTTATATGTACGCTAAGATTTGCACCACACTGCTGTCTACTTTCATATAATATAAAAATGTGCACAGTCTATCCATGCCATATGATTGTTTATCTATGAAAAACAAAAATAGCTAGATTGGAAGGGTACCCCCAAAGAGGTCCTTCAAATAACTGATATAGGAAATAAATACACCATAAATACAATATCTCTTAAAGAATTCTTGAAAGGTATATAGAATATAAGCAATAAAAGTTCTAGTATGTCTAATAAGTCAAAAAGTATCTTAGGACAAAAAATAATAGATATAGGAGCAGATAAGCTTTATTAACCTCATAATGCCGAAAAGAAACTAAAATGTAAACGGTGGCTGATGAGATACAAACTATTTCCCCCCCTTATTGTCTAAACTGGGAGTAAGTTTGTAGCAATCCACAATCATCAGTTCGATCTACACAGCCGGGAATAGAGCTTGCTGTTATGAGGGAAACTGATAAATGTCTTGATCTAAAGATCCAATAGACTAAATCTGCTATTGATATACAGAACTGCTGCAGTAGACACCGCTAAACTTGTTCCCTATAAACTCCTAAAAACACCTTTGTGGGTGTTCTATACTAAAGCTGCTATTGAACCCGGTGTCTACATCAGCCCTCGATAAAGTACTAGATAATGCTTAGGCTATATACATCAACATCAGCCCCTGACGAAGGAGTCCTCGCACTCCGAAACGCGCGTCGGGCGTTTCAGCTCTTTATCCCTTCACTTCACTTCACTTAGCACTATGCACTTGAAGGGATTTGTTTCTTATTTTTTATTTTTCACTTTTTTGTAGTGAGTAGTTTTGTTGATGTATATAGCCTAAGCATTATCTAGTACTTTATCGAGGGCTGATATAGACACCGGGTTCAATAGCAGCTTTAGTATAGAACACCCATGAAGGTGTTTTTAGGAGTTTATAGGGAACAAGTTTAGCGGTGTCTACTGCAGCAGTTCTGTATATCAATAGCAGATTTAGTCTATTGGATCTTTAGATCAAGACATTTATCAGTTTCCCTCATAACAGCAAGCTCTATTCCCGGCTGTGTAGATCGAACTGATGATTGTGGATTGCTACAAACTTACCCCCAGTTTAGATAATAAGGGGGGGATATAGTTTGTATCTCATCAGCCACCGTTTACATTTTAGTTTCTTTTGGGCATTATAAAGTTAATAAAGCTTATCTGCTCCTATATCTATTATTTTTTGCCCTAAGATACTTTTTGACTTATTAGAGATACTAGAACTTTTATTGCTTATATTCTATATACCTTTCAAGAATTCTTTAAGAGATATTGTATTTATGGTGTATTTATTTCCTATATCAGTTATTTGAAGGACCTCTTTGGGGGTACCCTTCCAATCTAGCTATTTTTGTTTTTCATATTTAATCTCCGGGTACATGCCCATATTTAGGTGGAGCTGGTACCACCGTCCTGACCTTTTTTACTGATCCTACCTCCAATCTTTTGGTTGGTTGGGGTGATAGGAAAACTAATTTGATTTTTTTTTTTTGATTGTTTATCTTTGCTTATGAAAACTCTGGCAGTTGCTGTTGTGGCATTTCTAGTATAAATGTATTTTGTTTAACCAATGCACAACAAAATAAAGAATTTTAAAAAAAATTACAATTATAATAACTGCAGAAAATTAGTATAAAATTGTACAATAAATATGACTGTATGCTAAAATTTAAGTTTGATAAAAAATGGCATAGTTCAAAGTCGGAGTTTAGCCCATATGGAATGAGAGTGTTCATTTCAAAAAAACACTCCATTTCTGTCCTTCCCATCTTTTGAATACAATCTCCTCCCCTCCATACAAATTAAGCTATTAGGACCCTTACCATGTATATGTTTAAAATGATAGGACACACTATGGTTCTCAAATCCTTTTTGGATATTTCGAGTATGTTCTCCAATCCTAACGTGTAGTGCTCTTGTAGTTCGACCTATATAATTCAGGCTGCAAGTACATTTTAAAAGATAAATAATATTTTTGGAGTAACAGGTAATAAAATCTTTTATAGGTATGCTAACCTCTTTATGGCAGACTGGGAGTCCAGTGCCATTTGGGGTGGGCATGCCTGGGAGTCAAGCCTGGTCTCCTATTTTAGATACATTAATGATTTATTTTTTTGTATGGAAGAGCTCTGAGGAACACGAACAAGAGGGGTATCATTTTATCTTGTGAATACAGTAAAGACACAATCAACTTTTCAGATTTAAATATTTTTATAAAAGATGGGGCACTTCACACAAAAACATTTTTTAAAACGGTATGTTCTAACACAATAATAGACCAAACCAGCTGTCACTATAAACCATGGCTTGAAAGTGCTCCTAAAAGCCATTTCTTACGTATACGTAGAAATTGCTCTCACATTCACAATTTTAACGAACAAGCACTTTTTCAAAAAAAATTCACAGAAAAAAAATTCACCAACAAAATTAAATAACATAGAGAAAATTAGAAACAAACCAAGAGATAATCTTCTGACGTATAAAGACAAATATATTTCAGATGTTCCAACTCTCCCTATAATTTGTAACTATAACAACAAAAGTGGTTATTTAAAAAAAATAATTAATAAACAGTGGCACCTTCTAAGGCAAGACGACCTTCTTAAAGAAATTTTACCTATAAAACCTAATATTGTTTTAGAGGTGCACCAAATTTTAGATCTATTTTAACTTAGAATTATACCAAAGAAAACAAACTAAACACCAACCATACTTTTTTTTTAGAAGGAACTAAAGGATTTTATAAATGTAAATGCTGTGTTGTCTGCAGGAGCACTGACCCTTCTACACAATCCAAGGTCACCAGTTTTAAATCAAATAGAACCAACAAAAGTTATACCATCAAAGACTTTATTGGATGTAAAACAAAAAATGTAATTTATCTATTGGAGTGCCCTTGTGGCCTCCAATATGTAGGAATGACTACCAGGTGCTTAAAAATGATATTAGGAGAACACTACAGGAATATTAAAAATGGATACCAAAACCATTCTGTATCTAAACATTTTATTAATCATAACCAGGATCCCAAATTTCTTAAATGTATTGGAATTAAAAAATGTAAGATCCCATGGAGAAAGGGGAATATAAAAAATATTTTAGGCAGATCAGAAATTGAATGGGTTTTTAATCGACAGACCTTAGTTCCTCATGGTCTAAATGCAGATTTTGATTTGTATAATCTTTTATAAAATACTTTTTTTTTTTTTTGTAAATATGATTTTTTATTTGTTTTGAAGATAAAGGAAATAGGGAACAGTGATACCCGCAGGTATCTATTGGCATATGAAATACAATAACAAATGCACAACATGTGCGAATATCAATCATAGAAAATGTGAAGATGTGTTTTAGATAGTGCGAATCATATCAAGCCCAGATTGTGGATGGACTCGCAGGTCCCTTGTCGTATTAGTTACTACTTGTACAACATGGGTGATAATTGTTTTTAGAAATTGTGAAAATTGGTTTTAGATAATGCGATCAATTAGCATTTGGGCTTGCAGGTCCCTGGTGTTATTTTTTAACTTTGACAAGTTTTATTGCAGTTAGGGTACAGAAGAAAAGAAAAAGGGTGGTGAGGGTTGAGTAAAAGTTGTGTTTATATTAGCTTGATTTGCTTTTTGAACATACATATAGGATTGCATTTGTGTGTGTTAACTTTTTGCCAAGGGGGGCGTGGCCTGAGCTCCGAGCGAGATGGACGCATAGAGAGTGAGCTCCGACCCACCGGCACCTACCACAGCCTATTAATCAGCAACTCTCCGCACACATGGGACGCCACCGTCGCACTGATGCCCCCCAGACCCCGAGGGGCTCCCAGATAGGGCACACTCACGGCCCGATGGACGGTTTCCTCCACAGCCAAGCCGACATGAGCGGGGAGGCCGGCGGATCCAATATGGCGCCGGCAGAACAGTCCCCCAGAGAACCTCGTGGCGCTACACTAGAGGGGATCGGGGAGGAGATCAGATCAATGGCTGCTGCCATGGCCACAAAAGCAGACCTCCTGGTACATACCACCTTCATACAGGACGCCCTACGAGCCGAGATTGCAGGAATCAGGTCAGAAGTAACGGCCCATACAGGCCGCATACAAAGCCTGGAACACTCCCAGGAAACTCAGGCCACTAGGCTGCAGGCGACCGATACAGCCCTTGCACGCCAGGGGGAAATGCTCCTACACATGAGGAGAACAATAGAGGATCTGGACAATAGGGGGAGAAGATGCAACATTAGGGTCCGTGGGGTCCCTGAATCAGACGGGGAAAATATTGAAAACATCCTCAATGACATCTTTCACATGATCCTGGGAGCGGATGCCCCACACACATTCAGCTATGAGCGGGCACACAGAGCACTACGCCCCAGGCCGTCGGACGACAACCCAAGGGATATAATATGCTGCCTCAGCTCCTTCCGTGACAAAGACGCCATCATGAAGGCGGCCAGATCCAGGCCTACTTGGAATTTTAGGGACACAATGGTATCCCTATTTAATGATCTCTCCCCCATCACATTAGAGGCCAGAAGGGCACTGAAGCCCATAACAGCGGCCCTTCAAGAGAGGAATATCCAATACAGATGGGGCTATCCCTTTGCCTTGTTGGCCCACCACCAGAATGGATGGTCCTCCATACGTTGGCCCGAGGAGATTCCGAGATTTCTGGAAGAAATGGATCTACCGCATATCTCGGTCCCTGATTGGATCCTGGGCCCCCTAGGGGGGAGACCACAGCCGCAAAGAGCACCCAGGAGGCGAGGAGGAGGACCGCCACAGGGACCAGCGCAACGAAGGCGCAACAACCAGGAGGCACCAGAATAAGCGGTCATGTCGCCGCCCCCGCCGGGCACGTCTCCCTGATCCTCGCCCCCACCTGGGAGACCTGCACTTGCCATAGATTTCACGGAACATGCTACCCTGCTGGACGATCCGGGGACCTACACAGCTTGATAACGAAGATGTAACGTACATGTATATTTTTCTCTTTTTTTTTCCCTGCCGAGACTGAGCTCGAACACAGCTTGCTATACCATCACACGGGAATAAGGTTTGGGGTGGGGAAACTGGGGGGCACTCGTTATACGAAACAAGTGGAGCTGTCGTACCAAACGGATAAGGGCGGCATAACACAAGCTCTAGATGACATGACGAGCTAAGTACTTTAGGGGATGAACATACACCACTACACGAAGCTCCATCACTCGAGGAACGGAATCCCCAGCATTACGCTGTCAACTCAGGAGAAGCTCACCACGGTTTTACGGTACAGGACACTACCCCTGCACATAAGCTAATGGTTATGCTCGACCCCACTGATCTGCATGTTTTGCACCTAGAATTAATGGTTATAGTATCTGCACAACACACAGGGAATAAGACGCATCAATAGCCTTATACATGACACCTCCCTGGATCTTGCAGGCCTTTCATTAGTTAAGCCATGCTCCACCACGTGATATTTTTCCTCCGTCAAGTACCAGCAGATAAGAGGGTGGGGCACATTATACTCTGGATAGTCATTCGATGGGCTGCCATACCCAGGGGTAGGGGGCACTCGCCACAACACACCCGCAGAAACAGATAGGAGGATTTAGCATAGATAGATGTGGAGGGGGATAGTACTGGGACATAGAAGACACCCGGGCCATATTTCGCAGACACATTATTGAATATATTCCCCAATTGCCACACAAAGGGTAAGCAGAGAGGGGGGAGGGAAGACAGATGGGGGGAAGGTAGGAAAAGGAAGGGGGAAGGGGAATGAGACATAATAATAACCTCATATTATGTATGCATGCCTAATGTTCGTGATGCTGTCACTTATACGTTACTTGTTTTTCATTGACTAACGTCCAGGATGCAGGAGGCGCATCCAGGTCCGGGGAATCGGGGAGGGCGGGAGACGGGACGGTGGAGGGGGCAAGCCGATTGGACTCTGGGTATTGTCCTCATATGTTACAATGTTGAAATGTATGTATGCTACTGTTTATATGTTTGGCTTTCCATGTACTGATACCGGCACCAGGCTGGAGGGCCGGCGGGGGGGAGCTGGTTAGTATTAATCGGTTACAACACTCTCACTTTCGGCCCAAGAAGGATTGGGGCGGGGCTGCTAACCCCTAACAAAAACCGTGCACAGTTTTAGACGTCGGGGCTTCCCGCAGGCCCACACATCGGTCTGGTTACCGGGGTGGGCCCGGGCACCTCCCGCCGTCGCATGGCTACACCCTCCTTTCCACAAAGGAGGACCGAGGTGGACACTCTCCTTTCCCCTTCTCGGGGCCACCTCTACTTGGGGGTCTTTATAACTCCCCACTTTTTTAACCCACACACTTTCCTCACTCTACAACCTACTTTGATGGACCGGTGACAACCCCCCCCCCGACTCAAGGGTGTGCTCCGCGTGTGAGTACACTTATCGCCCCTACTACCCTAGTCGCTCTGAGCCTACCACATAAGGACATATCGACCCGCAACCTGAAGTGCCTGACGTCTTGACATAGCACCAGTCGCGGGGTGGGAGCCCTGCGCACTCGGTGATCCCACGCCAATCGACCCACCGCACCTGCGGCTACATTGTGGACTGATCACTGGGTGACTTTGAGGGAACGTGGACAGGCCTCCAGCTAGCTGTAATATAAGACCTGGTGCTGGGATCTCCGCGTGCCCCCTCCTGGCTGGCGGATTGACGATGACGTACCTCGGTGCTCCGCTAACTGCTATGGCTCTCAACTGCCGAGGCCTGAACGTGCCGGAACGACGCACCCATCTGCTTCGTGAACTACGGAAAAAACGAATCTCCATAGCGATGCTCCAGGAAACTCACTTCCTCGAGGGGTCCGCACCTAAACTCCGTAATCGGCAATACCCCAACACCTTCTTCAGCAATCATCCCACAACCCGTAAAGCAGGAGTCGCTATCACCCTTGCAGCAGAACTGGACTTCAAAGAACTAGATAAGGTAACTGACAAGCTAGGGAGATACCTCTTCCTAAAAGGCACGATAGCGGACAGAATGTACACCCTGGCTTCCATTTATGTACCCAACAAAAACCAGGCACGTTTCCTTCGGAGAACAATGAACAAACTGAGCGGATTCTCGGAGGGCACACTCATTGTGGGGGGTGATCTCAATACCCCGTTGGACCCTCAGATGGACACATCCACGGGACACTGTTATATACCTATGTCTAGCATTCACTCGATACGTAAGTCGATGGGTGACTTGGGACTGGTGGACTGTTGGAGAGTACTCAACCCGGATGTCAAAGATTACACCCACTACTCCGCACTTCACAACCGCTACTCGCGGATTGACTACGTACTAATCCAACAGGAAGGCCTGTCGCGACTGAAGAAGGCCACAATCGACCCCGCTACATGGTCGGATCACGGTCCGGTTACAGTGGAACTGGAATCGCCACTGTTCAAACCGGCAACATGGACCTGGCGTCTGAACGAATCCTTGCTACAGGACCCCGAGGTGGAAAGCGAAATTACACGAGCTCTTGACCTTTACTTCGAAGAAAATGATGTGTCAGACACCTCTCCAATTGTACTCTGGGAAGCTCATAAGAGTACCATCCGCGGTATACTTATAAAAATAGCCTCTCGACGACGGAAGGCAACCATGCAGGAAATGGCGGACCTATATGGGACTATCTCGAAGCTGGAACTCCAACACAAACAAAACCAACTTGCCAGTGTCCGACAAGTCCTGACAGATGCCCGACGCAGACTGAAAGATCTTCTCACGAAACGATACTACCGCTCACTACAACACTCCAAGAACTTTTTCTATATCCATGCTAACAAAGGAGGCAAATACCTAGCCCGCGTCCTGAAAGGCGATACCCCCCGCACACGGATACATAAAATACGTCTACAAACAGGGACAGTGTCCCAATTCCCTGAGGACATCGCCAATGAATTCCAACGATATTACCACGCCTTGTATAATCTACATGGCCCTGGAAATATGACGATGGGAAGCCACGCCAGCACACCTATCCAAGAATACCTACAAGACAACGTAGGTAGCCGGGTATCATGGGAAGCAGCGAATACGCTGGACGAACCGATTAGCATTGAGGAAATAACCGCAGCCTTGAAGAGTGCTAAGGCGGGCAAGGCACCGGGACCTGATGGATTCTCCATAGGTTATTACAAACGCTTTTCCTCAACTCTCCTACCTCGACTAACTACTGCGGTCAACACCATCACCGAGGGGAAAAGATTCGGAGCGGAATCACTAGCCGCCACTATCACGGTCCTGCTCAAACCAGGGAAAGACCCGGAACAGTGTAGCAGTTACCGACCAATATCCTTACTAAACGTGGATACGAAATTGCTCACGAAGGTACTAGCAACTAGGCTACAACGTATACTGCCAAGCCTGATCCATGAAGACCAGACGGGGTTTATACCGGGGAGGGAGGCGCGAGACAGTACACTGCGCCTCTTCTCCATACAACACAGAGCACGGGAGATGCGGGACAAGATCTTACTCCTTTCCACGGACGCCGAAAAGGCCTTTGACCGTGTTAACTGGTCATACATGATGGACACACTGAGGGCCATGGGTCTAGGACAGAACATGTTGACGTGGATCTCTGCCCTGTATGATAAACCACACACATCTATTCGGGTGAACGGGGCCCTTACCTCCGGCTTCGAGATTCAAAATGGAACTAGACAGGGATGCCCCTTGTCGCCACTACTATTTGCAATGACTCTGGAACCACTACTACACGCGATCCGCCATAACCCAGACATCTCGGGATACAATTGGAGGGGAACGGAGCATAAGGTGGCCGCATACGCGGACGATCTTCTCTTCTTTATCTCTAACCCACGAGTCACGATGCCCTGCTTACTGCTAGAATTCGAAAAATTCGGGAAAATCGCAGGATTTAAACTTAATCTTTCAAAATGTGAAGTACTTAATCTAACCTTTCCACCGGAAGAATACCTGGAATTGGGAACAGTCTTTCCATTCCGCTGGTGCGCGGAGAAAATGAAATATCTTGGAGTGTGGATCACCACAAACCCGCAGGAACTTTATCGACATAACTTTGCCAACATCCTGCGACAGGTAACCTCAGATCTTGACAGATGGGCATATCCGCACATCACCTGGCACGGACGAATCGCAGTAATCAAGATGAATGTGCTCCCGAGAATCCTCTACCTATTTCAGACAATACCAGTGGCACCACCGACAACCTTCTTCTCCACCCTGAAATCGGCGGTAATTAGATATGTCTGGAGAGGGGAGAAGTCTCGACTACGCCACAACGTACTTTGCCTACCTAGACTGGGAGGTGACCTGGCGCTCCCGGACTTCAAAAGATACCACCAAGCCACCACACTTCAACGAATCCTGGAGTGGCACGCGGCTGATTCCCCAAAACAATGGGTTGTCCTGGATGGGGGAGAATCACGGGCCACACTTAAAGCGGCGGTATGGCAAGGGGGAACGAGATGTCGCGATGGCGAAGGAGCAGGGAACCCGACGACGCAGATGCTAAAGACTTGGGCAACGATACGGAAAACCAGCCATGTGTCCCCGACCCCCAGTCCCTTGCTCCCCATAGTCCCCAACCCAAATCTGGCGGGAGGCATTTCGGCCAAGGCCTGGATATTTCTGGAGGAGGGGGACTACATCCCGATTCGAACGGTCCTCCAAGAAGGGGCACTTCGACCCCTAAACACGTTAATGGCCGACAGACCCAATACGCCCATGGCGTCCCTCCGCTACCTGCAACTAACACACTACTATAGATCCATTCCACGCAGGGAACACCTACATAGAGACCTCACATGGTTTGAGGGTCTTTGCCAACGAGGCGCCACACTCGACAAAGCAATTTCACTGCTATACCAACACCTGCTGTTGGAAGCTACCCCAACTAACAACACCTTCAGGAGACAATGGGAAGAACAAATGGGCGAACCGATATTGCAACCACAGTGGGACGCAGCACTTTTATGGCAACACAAGAGTTCCTCCAGCTCACACTATCAGGAAGTAAACTATAAACTGATATCCATGTGGTATAGAACACCAGTTGCCCTACACAGGATCTTCCCAACGGCGTCCCCAACATGCTGGAGATGTCAGGAGGAGAGAGGCACGATCATACACCTTTGGTGGGATTGTAAGATCATTATCCCATACTGGGAACGAATCCGGTCTGAAATCAAGGAGGTACTAGGGGAGGACACGGAATGGTCCAAGGAACTAGTTCTCCTGCACATCACCTCGCGATCCATATCTGGTTACAAGAAGTCCATCCTACGTCACCTACTGAATGCAGCTAAAGCCCTTATCCTTGTATATTGGAAACGAACTGAGGTCCCCACGGTTGCAGAATGGCGAAACAGAGTCTGAGACATACAGTTGGCGGAAGCACTACAGGCATCCCTGACGGGTCGGGGGACCAGGCACGCGGAGATGTGGCAACCATGGTTCGTCTACCAGGCTGGAGGGCACTAAAGGTCTCGTGAGGGGGGAGGGAGTGACGGTGGACGGGGAGACAGATCACGCGCCTACCCCGCCAAAGCCGTGGGGGTTGAGACCACTCCATCACTGGAAATATAATCCCTGGGCAGATGAAACCAACATCGGCCCGCCGACCCAACCCTCCCACACACATCCCGAAACGCTGAAAATACGTGACCCAACCGAGACTTCCCTTCTCGCACGCGACTATAACCACTGGGCACCCACGGGGCGCGATATGGGGACAAGGGGGGGGGGGAACCTGATAGGACCGCTACTTTCTTTTCTCCCTTTTCGACTCTCTTTCCCATGCTGACCCCTCTTACATGTCTAATACACAATGCACACGCCTAGGGGACAGGGGGAGGAGGGGGAAGCCAAGAGTCAAGAAAACCAAAAAAAAAGGAATACATAATACTGGCACTATTATCGGTACATCGAATTGCGGGACATGGGAACACACCCATAGGATAACCAAGCCTAACCTTAAGACCAAAGCACCTACGCTCCTTTCATGCCAGGAGCTAGTTAACTATGTCCAGCCTATTATTAGGCACTCCTGCTACAAGGTATACTGTGTCTTATGAAGGCACCCGACTTAGAGCCATGCTTTATGTTAAAAGACCGCTTACTAGCAATAGGGATGTTACATACTATACATATGTACGTACGCCAAAACAATGACGGTTGTCACTCTACATACTTTACCTTTCTGTTATCCTATGTACGCCTACTGTTAGTTACGTAACTTATCGCTGTAATTAAATCCTGTCAGGAGACTTGGTTATGTGGGCACAAAAAAATGTGACTCAAAATATGGAAATATCGCTACAATACCCTTGTCTTCTAAGTAGACCTGCGAGCCGAATTCTTTCTGTAACCCTCTCTCTTCTTCAATAAACAGATTTTCAAAAAAAACAAAACTTTTTGCCAAATATTTATACATTGGATACTCATGCATTTGTAATTAGCTTGGTGGGTCTGAAGGGAGTTATTGAGAATATCTGTGGTGTCCAACCTGGTTGGTTTGTGCCATAGATTGTTGTTTCTGTTAGTTTCCGAGTTTTGCCTCTTTGCCAAATTGACTTTTTTCGTGTGCTTTCTTGTGAGGTGACTAACTAGGTTTTGTATAGTCTCTGTGTGTTCCGCACTCCTTTGGTCATCTGTTTGTGGTTACTCTGACGTATATTCTGTATTGGTGTGTCACCTGGTAGTTTATTAATGTTTCGGTACTGGTTGGGCGGGGACGGTGACTGTTAATTAGTTGTCTAGTTATGTGTGCGTTTGCGAGTTGTCGGTGCCAGCAACTATGATCTATTTCATCCCAGAATGGTTTGATTTTGGTGCAATCCCACCAGAGATGGCAAAGGGTGCCCGTTTGGTTTTCGCATCTCCAGCATGTCTCTGGGACTCCCGGGAATATTCTATGCAGTAGTGCAGGCGTCCTGTACCAGTGGGATATCAGTTTGTAGTTTACTTCTTGATACCTGGTGCTAATTGAGCTTTTGTGTTGGAGGATGAGTATTTGTCCCCATTGGGCTTCCGAGTAGGTTCTTCCAGTTAGGTCTTCCCATTGTCTTTGAAAGGCATTCCTCCTTGTATGGTCTTCTGTGATCAGTTGCTGGTATATGCTGGATACTTTGCCTTGTACATCTGCGTCAGTGGTGCAAAGATGTTCGAACCACATCGTTTCCCTGTGTACTGCCTCTCTATTGGGCAGATTGTGGTAGAAGTGTCTTAGTTGTGCATAGTGGTATCTATGCATTATCGTGTGCTGTTCTGTAGTTGACCATTCTCGTAGAGTTCTCAGTCCTGCGTTGTTCAGTGCCCCTTTCAGGGGGATGAAATTTCCCTCAGACGTTATGGGCCATGCAGTTGTCTGTAGTCCTCCTCCTATCGCTGTGTTGTTTCTTCCTTAGGTTTGTCCATGTTTTCAGTGTCTGTATAATGGGGGATTCATTACTCAGGTGTTGTTTAGCTTCTGTCGGGCCTTGCCATATGTATGTGTATAGAGCCTTATTCGTACTCTCCCTGTCTAGGGTCACCCATAGTTTGGTCTCTGTCGCCTCGTGCCATTCCCAGATTCGTTGGAGTACGGTTGCGTGATAGTATTTTCGGAGGTCTGGCAGAGCTAGCCCGCCCCACATTTTTGGGAGGCATAGCTTGTCATGCCTGAGGCGTGCTCTCTCTCCTTTCCAGACATATTTTATTACCGCCGTTTTGAGTGTTGCGAAAAAATCTGGTGGTATGTGCCAGGGAATTGTGCTGAAGTGGTATAATAGCCGCGGCAGGATGTTCATTTTAATTACCGCTATGCGTCCCTGCCAGGAGATATAGTCGTAATTCCAGTTCCTGAGATCCATCAGGATTGTGCGTAGGAGGGGAGTATAGTTCTTGCAACATAATTCCTTTGGGTTACTAGGTATCCAGATTCCCAGGTAGCTCATTTGCTCTGTACACCAGTGGAAAGGGTATCTGCGTCGTATTTCTTCCCGCATCGCCGTTTGCGAAGCAATGTTTAAAATTTCGCATTTTGACAGGTATAATTTTAAACCTGATATCCGTCCGTATGTCTCAAATTCTCCCATCAAGGCTGGGTTTGTGTGTGGTGGGTTATCTACAAAAAAGAGCATGTCGTCTGCATATGCAGCTACCTTGTGTTGTGTATATGGAGGCTGTCTGTGAGTGCTCCATTTATCCGTATTCTGGCGCTTGGGGCGGAGTAAAGTGCCTCTATCCAGGTGAGCATGTCTTTTCTTAATCCTATTTTGTCCAAGGTCGCCATCATGAAACTCCACATCACCCGGTCAAACGCTTTTTCAGCGTCCGTGGAGAACATTAAGAGGTTCGATTTTTCTTTGAGCACTAGGCTTTGGATGGCGAACACCCGGAGGGTGCAGTCCCTGGCCGCTGGTCCCGGGATGAATCCTGTTTGGTCTTGGTGCACCAGACGTGGCATGTATTTTTGTAGTCTAGTCACCAAGATTTTCGAGAATAACTTCACATCTGTGTTGGGATGAGGGATATCGTTCGATAATTCCCGCAGTTTTGGGGATTTTTACCGGGTTTAGGTATTACTGTAATTGTTGCTGCTAGAGTTTCCTGATGAAACTTGACCCCTTGCTGCAGTCGGTTCAAGGCTCCTGTCGAGTATGGGGCTAGTAATTCGCCGAATTTTTTGTAATATCCCGCCGGCAGACCATCTGGGCCCGGGGCTTTCCCAGTTTTTGCTTGTTTGATCGCCGCTTGTATTTCTTCCGTTGTTATCGGTGTTTCTATTGTGTTTGCCTCTTCTAATGAAAGCGCTTCTGGTCTAAAATTTTAGAGGTACCGTGTTGTGGCCGCTATTCTGTCTTCTTGACGGTCGTCTGTTGTCGTGGGGTCTATGTTGTACAGAGTTTGATAGTATCTTCGAAATTCTTCAGCTATTTCCACCGGGAATTGTGTGAAGGTGCCTTTGGTTGTCCTCAGTTCATGTACCTGAGCTCTGGCCTGTTGGTTCTTGATCATGCAAGCCAGTAGCCTTCCGCTCTTGTTAGCATGTATGTAATAGAAGGCTCTGTTTCTCTGGGTCGCCCTGTGATGTCTACGGGCCACCAGCTCCGTCAGCTGGTTTCTGGCTTCTAGGAGAGCACGGTATTGCGTCTCCAGTTGTGTTCGTTTATGGAGCGTTTCTAGTTGCGCTATGCGGTTGGTAAGTTCATTTAGGCGTTGTTGTGCTTCTTTCTTTTTTCGAGATGCTATTCTTATAAAGTGCCCTCTGAGCACAGTCTTGTGGGCTTCCCATAGCGTCACCTTCGATATATCCTCTGTGTTGTTCTCGTTAAAGTAGTTGTTGAGCTGTTCCGTTAATTGCGTCTCCACCTCTAAGTCGGATAAGAGTGACTCGTTCATTCTCCAGGCTGTCCGTGTGGGTCTAAACATGGGGGAGTCCAGGAGCATGGTCACGGCACTGTGGTCTGACCACGTAATAGTGCGTATCTCCGCCTTCTGGAGTCTTTGTAGGCCCTCTTGTTGAATGAGGAGGTAGTCGATGTGGGAGTATCTCCTGTAGATAGAGGAGTAATGCGTGTAGTCTCGATCTGTTGGATGCAGGGCCCTCCATGCGTCCACCAATCTCAGGTCTCTGAGAGATTTCCATATAGTCCGAATCGCCATTTGTGGTATGCTACTGTGTCCTGTCGAGGAATCTGACAGTGGGTCCAGGGGAGCATTGAAGTCCCCTCCCATAATAAGCGTCCCTTCTGTGAAGGTGGCTAGTTGTAAGATCTTCTTGCAGAGGAACGTCGCTTGCTTTGCGTTTGGCGCATATACTGTAGCAAGTGTGTATGTTTTCTGTAAAATTGTGCCCTTAGTGAAGAGAAATCTGCCGCTCGAGTCGGATAACTGGTTGGACAGATTGAATTGTAGGTTGGCATTTAGGAGGATTGCTACCCCTACTTTACGCGTTGTTGGATGTGTGCTATGATAGTTGACTGGGTAGTGTCTGCTTTTCAGTCTGTGTGTGTCCGTAGATTTAAGGTGTGTTTCCTGCAGCATAGCAATAGAGACCTGCTTTCGCGTGAGTTCTCGTAGGAGATGGGAGCGTCTTTCGGCCGTATTTAGGCCTCTGCAGTTCTGAGTCGTGATGCGAAAGGGTGTGGGAATGTATGTCATGATGTGAGCAAGGTTATGTTGGAGGTCACTGAGTGTTGTGTGGGGCCTCGGGTCCAGCCCCCAGTTTTCCCCGTGCGCCCCGGATCCTGGGGTAAGAGGGGGGGTGTGGGAGAAAGGGAAGAGAGGTGTTCGGGGGTCGTTCAGTTGGTGTAGTGCCCCTTTAGTGGACGGGATGTCTTGGGACTTCTATGTGGTCGGTTTAACTTTTTTCTGGTTTTGGCTCAGCTCAGGACTCTAGGGGTCTGATCCCACCAATGTGGTCCCTTACAAAGTTAATCCCTCAATGTGAGGGGGTCCTGTGCAACTGGGTGGAGTATCAAGTCCGCACTGTTCCCTAGGAAATACTAGGACAGCCACGGAGTCGACGCCCCCAGTAGTCTAAGTATACACAGGTCTGATTTGGTGGTGTGGGCCTGGTGTTGGCCGTTGTATCCTTCTCCCACCCGCTGTGGTCCCCACCTCCACCCCCGCACAACTATACATGTCCCCCTCCCACCTCCAACCCCCCCGACCCAACATGCATGTTATCTGCCAGTGTGGGGATGTTTTGGTTCCCCCATCTTGGGGATCTGCAACTCCTCAGGTCCCTTCCTTCCGGGTGTCTTTCAATCATCCCAGTGTTTGTGTCTCAAACAGTATCTGGCCGGATCTATGCAGTGGAATGTCTCCATCGCTGTCACCTCCCCTCAGCATCCCTCTCAAATTGATGCTATAGTTAACCTCTTACCCCAGTGTTATTCCTAAACTGAGGGGTGGGTATCTAGGGTTCTCGTGTTGGATCCTAGGCATGTTACCCTTATGTGTGTGGGTGTAGCGTGGGACTTATCTGTTCATTCCGGTGGGCTGGTGGCCTCTGTTCCATCCCCTGGGCCGTAGTCATGAGTGTCGTGGTCCGGTCTGGGGTAGTCCGGTGGTGGGGAGGGACACGTCCGCCTGCTGTTACTCCTCTGGTTCTGTCGGTGCCAGTTGTCTTCTGGCTGGTGGCCTTCTTGGTGTGGCGTCCTTGCGTTGTCGCTGTTGTCGTGGCGTTTGTGGCCCTTGTCGAAAGTCTACTGGGCCCAGGACCCAGTTGATGACTTCTGTCGGCAGCAAGTTTAGGAGTTGTAGGAACCTGGCGACCTCTTCTGGCCAGCGCAGTTGGGTCCACTCGTTGTGGTGTCGTGCCTGAAGCATAAAGGGGAAGCCCCATTTATATGGGATTCCTCTTTCCCTGAGTAGTGCTGTGATGGGTCGCAGGGCCCTGCGGGCTTCCAATGTGAGGGGGGATAAGTCCTGATATAGGGCTATTTCTGTGTCACGGAACCTCCAGGTTGGTCTCAAGCGGGCTTTAGTCATGATCCTTTCCTTTACCTTGTAGGTGTGCAGGCAGCATACAATATCTCTTGGTGTGTTGTCTGCCGCTCGTGCTCTATTAGCCCTGTGTGCTCTATCAAATTCTATGGATTCCGGTGCCTCAGTCCCTAATATTTCTCTGAACAGGGTCTGCAGTGTAGCCTCTACATCTTCCTCCCCTGCGGGTTCGGGTAGGCCGCGGATTCTAATGTTAGACCTACGGCCTTTATTGTCTAAATCCTCCGCCTGGCGCCTCAATGCCAAGAGCATATTCCCTTGCCTGGTGATAGCAAGGTTTGTGGTTTCTACCTGTGCTGATGTACTCTGCACATATGCTTCCATTGCTTGTAGTCTGCAGGCCTGTGTGGCTATGTCAGCCTTGATCGTGGTTACCTCCGTGCGGATCACCGCATGCAGGGTGTCTGAGAGGGCCTTTAGGTCGTCCTTTGTCACCATGGCGGCAGCTAGCGCTCGGATGTCCGTGCTAATATCTGCCAGAGAGGTGTCTGAGGCGGACGAAAGGGCCGGGAAGTCGGCCATGCTGGATTCTATGGCCTCGTGGCTTGCGCCCGCTGAGGAGGCTAGGTACCCATCCATGGGTCCGGTTTGGGTGGCCCCAGGTGGTCTGGGAGCCATCTGGGCGTTTTGTACGCCCCATGTTCATGCCTTGCTGTAGGATTAGCGTGC